TTATGAAGCGGTCGATTGCAATAATAATACCCCAAGTAGGAGTCGGGATCGAATCCACAGGGAGCGTAGATGGAATTAGGTATATATTTGGACTAAACACGTAAATTATCTAAGATGCTCTTCCACAAACTGTGTTTTGATTCTACTTCTAAGTTATGCTACAGATTGCAAATGTAAAGCTAAAGAATAATATTTTTGGTGTTGTCTTTTTTCAAGTATGTAAAAGATCTAAGGCTGTGACTTCTACCTAGGTTCTTGCCTAATGGGGTGTGGGATTTAGAGCAGGTTTTGTTGGTCGGGATGTATTATAGAAATCAACACACAATTACCCACTCAATACCTCTCGATAATAGAGTGATTTTGCCCGATTTGGCTTTTTCAAGTCCAAATGGGTAATGCACAAAACAGTTGATAGATGCTCAAGTCAGGTTTTACTATTTCTAGATTCAACCCTTTAATTGGGTCTATCAATTTCTTGAGTTCATCCCAATTTCTTGTTGGCCAAGTTTTCCTAGACTAAGTCTCTCTTTCTCAAGTAGAGACTAAGTCAAATAGGCTTAAATCAATGTTTGCAACCATTAATTCTACAATTATAATAAGAACTAGGCTAAATATTACACACCCAACCATAAACAAGCCCTAAAGCAAACACCCATTAGGTACCCACACTAGGGTTGGATCAAAACCCTATCTAGAAATTTAGCTACTTATAGTGGGTGATGAAGAAAATAAAGAAGAAAAGATGATTAAACTCATAAATAAATGAAATTCCAATGTAAAATTGACAAGCTATGATAAAGTTTGCTAAAACAGTAAAGAAAAACGGCTACCAACTTTCACATATTCCCAACTTAACCTAATTTCGTGAAAGTAGTCTATTTATACAAAGCTGAAATTTTCGGACAAAATTGCCCTTTAGGAGGTTCTGCGGCCGTACAATTCTGTGTGCAGTTCGTACTTTGCTGCAGCTCTTGACAGGAGTGGTTTTTGCGGCCGCACAATTCTGAACTGGGCCGCACTTCTTGAGTTCTACAATTCTGGGTGCGGCCGCGCATCTTGAGTTCTGCGGACCGCACAATTCTGGGTGTGGCCGCACATTTGATTTCTACGGCCGCACAATTATAGTGCGGTCCGCAGATCTTGATTGTCTTGAATTCCCAACTCTCTGAACCTTGGCTTCTGCGGCCGCACAATTATAGTGCGGTCCGCAGATCTTGATTGTCTTGAATTCCCAACTCTCTGAACCTTGGCTTCTGCGGCCGCACAATTATTGTGCGGTCCGCACTTTGCATTACAGCACTATCAAATTTTCTTCTTGTTATGCGGCCGCAGACAAAATTCTGCGGTCCGCACTTTAGCCTTTTGCTTGATTTTTGTCCTTGTTCCAAATCACTCCTTCTTGAGTTGAATTTCATCACTTTGGCTCATTTTCCAATACTCCTACAAGTAAGTATATTTCATTAGTTTTCGGGAATACCTTTAAGTATTTTTGAACTAAAACGAAAGTCAAAAGGCGCAAATAAGTAGTCAAAATCCCCACTTATCACTCATCCTGTCGTAAGGCGTCAGGGACTCTCACCGACGGCCCCTCAAAATCAACCACGGCCTCAGGGAGAGACGTACCCTTATCGGTCCCCGATGACGGCAGAATCATGGGAGGTAACTCGGCTCATTTCCAAGATCTATGGTCATCATTTCTCAGATGACAAAATCCTCCATCACTGAGCTCCCTGCATTGACAGCTCCTTCTCCGACATCTACAGATCGCCTCTTACGAGGGAGCAAATTATCACCATTTGTTAATGACTCATCTTCATCGTCCTCATCTATTAGATGATGCAGAGGAGAAGTTGAGAGTCTCGTGGCAGGCTCAGTCGATGACCGAGCAGACCTCACAATGGCAAAAGGAGTAGAAGTTGCCTTCCTTTTGCGGAACGCTAGAGCAGGAGCCTTCCGCTTTCTCGAAGGTCCTCGGGCTGCAATAGAAAAGTTTGAAAAATGTCACTTCCTGCACAAAATCATAACGAGCAGGCAACCATGAGGTCAAAACGGTATGGACAAAAGATAAACTACGTATGGATGAATACAGATAGACGAGCTCACATGTTATTGAAGACACGGGCCCGAATTTCTTAATAAAAGCCGGCCATTCATCCCTACTGTGAGAGGTAAGACCTAGCTGACCCAGTCATGAAAGTCCGCAACCAAAGGAGGGGCAAAGTCTCGGTTGCGCGAGGAAAAGACGTAACGTTAGACTACAACTAAAAATGGGTAAAACAAACGCTTGGCAAGAGTTACTTACGAGCACGTTGGCCACCACGTCCTCGGTTTTGACGAAGAAGTAGCTGAGCCAGAATTGACGATTTGCTTTGTCGTCCATCTTCACTACAAAACTTTTGCTTCCTCGGTGACGAAGACGCATCATTATCACTCTATAGAAACTAGGGACGAAGAGGTGCATCAGGTGACATGGCCAGCCAATTCTGCATATTTCGTCAACATGCGGATAAGTTTGTAGATATAAGGGGAGAGTTGGGTCGGGCATACGCCGTAGTAGCGGCAAAATTCCTCCGACAATGGAAGAAGAGGAAAGGAATAGCATACATAGAATGGATACGCGTAGAACGTGCAGTATTCTGGGCGGTGTATTTGTACCACGTCGCGTCCCGCCGGAACCAAATCTATGTGAGTCGAAATTTCAAACTTTGCCTTAAATTCAGCGAGATCGACCTCGTTCATCATCGATGCCGAGGCCTCAGGGTCATCTTCACGTAACTTTGAAAAGTCAGATGTAGTATTTTCGCTATGAGGAATTATTTACTCCACCGTAGAAAATCTATCATCCTCAAGGGCAACAGAAACATCGTCGCCGTGAGGAGGCATACGTACCGCCAAGGGAGTAGGGTTAGCCGTCGTACCAGAGCTAGAGGGTGCGTTAACCATATTCTTGAAAGAGGATGTTTTAAGCACAGGAGTTGGAAGCAACGAAGATCGCTGGAATCAGGAGATTGGACACACAACGACGAAGCAAAAAGGAGACTAGGGTTCAGTATGGAGTATGAAGGAAAGAAATACAGGGGATTCGATATTAGGGGGATGCAAAACAAGCACGAATGGCCTCAGATCCCTATTTATAAGTGTTCAAGCACCGAGACCGATAAATCAGGCCATCATTACCCAGCGCATGTATCAAAACATCAGTGGCGCAAGAAACAACGCAAGGCGTCGGGAAAACGCGTCATATTGACGCATGATGTCGTGACGTCATTCTAAAACAATGCATCCCCAAAGTTTACATCCCACGAAAAGTCATGTTACCACCCCGCCTAAAGCGCCGCTACCCAACTTGCTCACCCCATTTTGTCAACTATGACGTACAGAGTCCGCTCATCAAGGTCGTCCCGGCTCGACCTTAATAAGCGGAGGGACTAACTGTATAGGCCAAAATCCGTCTTCAGAATATTTAGTGTGATATGGCATTAAAGAAAGTTATCGATCGAGCTCGCCCAAGATGCAGCGAGGTCAATGGTCGAGGTGCCGACATGAGCCGTGGTCAAGATATCGACGGAAATTGCAGTCAAGATGTCAACAAGGGTCGAAGTCGAGATCGACTATTGATGAAGAGACTTGCAACGGCTAATTAGTCAAGATATGGTACTACAAGGGAATATTCTAGTGGATATTCCCTGCATTTGTACCACTAGAGTTTCCTAGGAAAAATGCCCCATATATATAAAAAGAATAGACAATGATAGGGGCATGTAATATTCATTCTGATAAGAACACTTTTGAGTTGAAGACTTTCTCTCTAAAAAAGACACCAAGATTACCTTTTCACAAATATTCTTGTTCATATTATTCCCGACCTTTCCGTCAGATTCGAGGATTGTTCATGGGAATCTTGGATCTATCTGTCATTCATCATTGTCATGCAAAATATTCGCCCCACCCATCCATTATTTGGTGAATCATTCTCTTTATTTACTTAAATGTCATTTATTGACACTTATTGTTAGTTATATCACCTTAATGTTCTTGCTTTAAGAGTATTTTTACATTTATTGTCACCAACCATACACAAAATCTGTCTCATCTGCTATACGCTTTTGTGTTAATATCTAGAGTTATTATCCTTAGTTAGATTTAGCCCTGTACCAAGTAAATTTAATAGTTTAACCGAAAGTTATATTTTTTGGTCAAACATAAACATTTGCGGGTTGTGATTAAAAAGCCTATGATTTAGCCTTACAAAATGAGTTAATTGCACATTAGTGAGGACGTTTAGTGGATCTACACCATTCGATCAATTGGTTAGAGCAATTTCTATCAGAAACTTCTAGAGACGAGTAGACAACTAGCATGATATGCCATCCTCTCTACCTATCGAAGTGGACCACTCAACATGGGCGGAGGAAAGGGGGTTCGAAAATTCAAACACTCTTCCCCGAAAAATATATTATTTTTATAAAGTTAAATTTTAATTCTTTATATATACATTAGATGATAAATTTTATTGACTTTTCTACATGTTTATTTTATTTTTATTTTTTATTCTCTTTGGTAACAATTTTGCCTCCGCTAGTTTTACTTTTTATTCTCTTTGGTAAAAAATTTGCCTCCAGTACTGCCTTCAATGGTATGATGGATGGACGAAAAAACTTAGTCGAACAATAGTTCTAAAATTTATATAACGTTTTGTAATGTATAATGGACCGTACGTGATTGTATATAAAAAGAGTGCAACACATTTAAAATGTATTTTGGGCTGGAAGAACATTATTTCGCTATTCAACAACATCACCAACCTCATAATTTAATCCTAACATATAATCTACTCGTCCATTGAAAAAGATTATAAAAAAAGACAAGGCCACGCACGAAGCATTCTTAGCACCTCAAAGGGAAAGTAATGTAGTTTTAGAACTGATTTTACATTGCTCCAACGCTCTCATTCATTTTAAAGATTATACCAAAAAAAGGGCAAAGATTATACGTCAATATAAGACAAAAAACGACTAGTTAAGTGACCACTCTTGCAGCAGTCCGACTCGCAACTTGAAGCTGTAAATTTACATTGTCAGCCTCTATATTTTATTTCTTCAATTGTCTTAGTACAACTATACATAATATAAGAAATGACGGTCAAACTACATATCTGATACAGCTCTGGTTATGTAGTTGCTGCCATTAGCCGCATTCTCCACAGACTTCACAACAAAAACTAAAACACTCAAAACAAGCAAGTGCTGTACAAAGCTGTGCTAAAGTAACAGCACATCGATCATTAACCCGAGAACAGAACTGTATGAAACACATGCAACAGCAACAGTCACATAGTTTGCCGCAAAAGTTTGAAGCAGCTGCAAATACCATTTCTGAAGTTTCATGCAACTTGGGTTCTGCTGCTTCCACAGGAAGATTGTCTACTGTGGCCTTCAAGTTGCCGAAACCAAAACCTAGTGCTCGAAGGTATATGACTTTCTTGACATTCAAGTCGGAGGTCTTCTGCATATCATGAAAAGTTCAGGAACAAATCAGCATTTGAAGGCTAAAGAATTGGGGGAAGAGGGGTCGGATGTGTGTATTCTCCTCGAGCAAACTAGGAGTATTATATTATAGATGTTTACTTAAATCTAATCACTACCACAAAATTCTGGTCTCGTCAATTAAAGCCAGAGGCTTAATTTTCATTAACAGATTCCTTACGTAAGCTTAATGCATTATTGCAGTTTACAAGATTTTGATAATCATGGACATACAGAAAACACAAGAAAGCTAGTTTGCATGTACAGAAGTATATGTCCAGTTATAATTACCTCATACTGATCAAAATGATATACTAATCAGATCATTTTTAAATCATAAAGAGCTTTTGGTCAAACTAGACACTGACAAACCAATCAAACCAAAGCATACCTCATCTGTTACCTCTAATTTAGAGGTCTGCCTCTCCTTTTTATTTTCAACCAAAATCAAGTTGGAATATTCTGAAGGCACCCCTGTTTGCAAGCTCAATTTCACAACCTAGGAGCAGAAATATATATAGTTTAAGTGAGCATAATACTATCAAGAAAAAGTAATAATGATTTTCACGCAAAGATGTTGCAGCATTAGGATCAAAAGCACCATAAAATAATACACAGGAGCTGTTAAGGATTGGGCTATATGTCCAAAGCACGATTATTAAATTCTTAAATGTTGCAAGGACTTGCAATGAACATGTCATCATTTATCGGAACTTATTTATGCAGCACTATAAGAACTCAAGATTCATTAGACAGACCTTCTCCTCCAGTTGCTTGCTTCCGGAAAACCAGGCATTGGCAGTTAGCATTTCAATTTGTCTCCTTGCGAAAACCTTTGTAAGGAAACAAGCATAAGTTTAAATATCTTTCTACACTTCCAGCAAGGTTCATGTAAGCATGCGGACACAAGAAAAAGTACAAATGTGATATCTGTTCGATTATATACAGGGAATAAGAAAGGTAGATGGTTTATAGAATGAACCTGTTGACATAGGGAAAAGTCATGCAAAAACGAAATCCAGGAAAAGCTAGACTACCACATACACAAAGTACTTTTTCTTATGACTTCCTCCTCTTCAAAGGTAAATCAAATTAGCATTTCAGTAAGGAATTCAAGATGGAAGACCTTACTCTTTCCAAAGGAAAATCCTTAGCTTTTTGCACTTTGACATCCACCACGAAATTGCTCGAATCTGCTAAAGTACCGCTAACTTTAATAGAGTCAGGACAGTTCCCAAATAATCTGCCAGATACAATCAGTGATCTTGAAGACAACAGGTCTGGCAGATAACATGGATATAGCTGCAGCAAGAACAGTGGCTAGAACTGTCAGATAGACGGCAGAGATTAATAAAAATAAGGGCATGTATGATGCTGCTGATTAAGTACATTTGACCACTGTAGAGTTCAATTTCAAACAAGCACATTAATCGATCCTGACTCACTTCTACAGAAGTACCAGCCTATATCACCTGAACTAAGTTCGGGTTATACTGAAATCACATTTTTTTAAAGTAGTACACGTAGTATAGCAGAAAAGTTGTGCTTCTTATTGATTTCTACATCTTTATATCATAAGGACCATAATATGGCAAAAGAAAAATAAACTAACTAAGCAGTGTACTCTATAGTGGAAATTTTATGAGAGTGATACTTTGAAAGCAGCGATGGGGCAAAATTATCTATTTACACTTGGGATATTCTTCTCTCCCCTCAGGTTATAAAGAAAATGTAGTTGTTTATATACCTCAAATGAATCAAGATTTTCCAAAGCATCGATTCTCAGGTCCGCAAGAATGACTGATGATGTGCTGTTAAGTAGTCTTTCTAGCCGAGAACTGATTGAATCTGATCAGGGAAATTAATGTGAAGAATTAAAATCATTAGTCAAAATTCAAGTACTTTTGAATCATGTTGTGTTAAATAAAAGTTAATTCTAAGAACTTTTGGGCTGAGGGTGATAACAAGTACTAGTAACTATTCAGAACATCTTTCTAAGATCGGAATGCGAGGAGGCTACGGACTCCATCGACATGTTGAGACACCTAAAGATGGGATTAGTGAAGAAAGAAGCTATAGATTTTATCTTCTATTTTTTCATTATAATTAAAGTAGATCTTCATGCCATGTTGAGACACCTAGTGATATTTCAACATTTTGGCTAGGTTATTTATCGACAATAGTAGTCTTGGCATATTTTTCGCCAAAATGTGTATTTAAACAGATGATAGAAAACCAATATGCAGTAGCTTCTGTTTTTAAGTTTATCCTAAAAAGAAGGAAACTTCAAATGTAATTAGAGTCCAGGACTGGCTTTTCTGCAATTACTTAGTAAGCATTGAAGAGGCTCAACAAGTAAGTCGTTGAAACTCTAGCATAAAAATAAAATCTTTTAGTTAAATGCACAAATTATTGCCCTGAGAAAAGTAAACAGAATTACTAAAGATGCGACATTGTAGAATTAAACGCACCTACATCGTATGCAGCATCATAGTAACCTCTCCCCATCTGAGCAAGCATTTGCAAGAAGTAGTGATTACAGTATAAACCTGAGAGTGCATCGAGGAAAAGCTTGAGAAACAGAACTACTTAAGCTCACTTATCCAGAAAAATAAGCTAGCTGCTGCAGATGACAGGATGAGAACGAGAAAGGGACATAAATAAGCACAAATACAAAATTAGTTATCTATGATGGAACAATCAAGTAAAGCAACACTAATTCTTGTATGACAATAAAAAGACATAAGATAAGGCAATAAGAAAATTTAACACGATCGACGGTGCTGACAACGGACACAGCATGCCGTGAAACTATATGATCTTAGACATGGATTACATGCAATATTCTTGAAGACATGGATAGTTAACATACACTTTAAAACTTGTCTAGAGGCACTATGTGTACTAGTTTCCCTCGTTAGGGTACTTTTCTTAAAAGAAAAAGTTCCCATATTGATATGACTTGAAGGGAAATCCCTCTTAAGCTTTTATATATGCTTCTCTTATTTAAAATTCAGTGTGATTTCAATTTAGATTCTGTCACAATTGCTCCTGACTCAGCTACGTGGTTATTCATATACAAAATGATGAACTAGTCTAGACATAAGTGATGAATAATTAAGCACTCGAGAATCGCTATTGAAGCAGGGGTAGAAAGTAATTTAGAGATGTGAAAGAAAAACAAACCCACCAATGCCAAAAGTCGAAATTCGCGGAGCTTTCAAGCCTCTCTTCATCAACTGTCCCCTCAAGGCTTCACAAATTTCTCTTTCATCTCCAACAGATCCATCAGTGATTAGAAAAACAAGAGGAATTGAATCACCATTTTTTGATAGCATCTCTATTGCCTGACTTGAACGAGTTTACAAGGGCAGATTACGAGACTAAAATGTGCCAAAAAAATGTGAAATCAACATAATGCCACATCTTTTGATAAAGTAAATCACCATCATAATATTAAATGTGTGGTGCGATAAAATTTGGGCTAATTAACTTGGTAAATAAAAGGGATACAAGGATCAAACAGTTAGAGCTAGTAGCAACCGCCCTATTCTAAGACTCTGCATCAATTGAGTATTAACAAATGACCTAAAAATCCTCTCTATCAAATTGAACACATCATGAGTCAATTTAGGATGCATCATCCACATGATCTTTTTGTTCAATTATTCCGTCCTCCCAGTACATGTATATCCTCTACACATAGTCAGAAGTCAAACTAACCAAAAAAAAGCTACAAGATCTGCAACTGAGCCAACTAGGACGCAAATAGAAGTTCTACTTAATTGCGCTTTCCGTGCAGTACTCTTCTCTGGAAATAATAGGCATTATCATGCCAGTTCATAGTAAAGGAAAGTCACACTACTAAGCCGGAATATATAATATCTTAAGGAAAGAGCCAAGTAGATTTGCCATCTTGAGCTGAATGTCAGTCACCTGGTTTAGAGGCAGGGAAATGTCAGTACTTCCCTCAGCTACAATATTCTGATCAATCCACTGAATTGCTTGTCCGATTGACTCCTTGCTTGATGTCACCATGGATGATGAAAACAATAAGCTATTCTCATTGAAAGCGATGATGTTAAAAGTATCCGCTGGATTGAGCTTAGAGAGGGCAGCCAGTAGTGCAGCTTTGACATTCTCAAGAGGCTTTCCTTGCATGCTTGCACTTATATCAACAATATATACCACTTCTTTCCTGAAAACCTAAAAATCAACAATATATGCATTTAAGTAACCCAAGAACAGATAACAAATTCGTAAAAAGAAAAATTCTTTTCTAAATAAAAAGAAGAGATGCCTACTCAAATTGTGCAGGAATCATACTCTAAAACTCCAATAGGGGTTTGCAAAGAGGGATTATAGAGACAGATTCAAGATGACAATAGAAACAAATAATACTATGTAGAGCAAGAGGAGAGGCTGAGTTGAGCTTGAGCTATAAGTTCAAGCTGCAAACTTGAAGGCAAAGCTACATCAGTATTATGCCGGATGCCAAAGGAGACAAGGTGTATAAGGTAGTTTGGATGTCTTATGAACTGTAGTTTCCAATGATAAAGTCCATGGCAACAAAGGGTTAACACAATCCTTTCCTTTTTTACCTATTTTTCTGATTTGGCAGGCTTGACCTGGTTTGGCTGGACTTAGCTTTAATATGTACAGCAGAATGAAGAATAACATTTAGTTGAACATGTAGTGTGACGAAATATAACATTTTTAGGATTCAGGGATCACAGGTTAAAATTACATTTTGATCAAAAATTAATTCACGTTCAAAACATTAAGTTATAACAAGGTTAACTAACCTTCTTCCTATTGACAGTTGGTGGGTTAAGATAGAAGCAAAACATTTCTCTCTGATCAATATCAAGCATAGACGGAGAGTTCAGGAGCACACTCCCACGGATCTCGCTTGAAGGGACCTGAAGGTAATATGCATGTATTAGTGAGGATTCATGAAGCTCTTCAAAATAAAGAAGGAAAGAAAAGAAATGACTAATGAAAAACTAAGAGTAGTTCACAAAGAAGCTCCAAGTACCCCTTGTCATTCAAACTGAGGGAAAGGAAAGAAGTAAAAGGAAGCAAAAAAGATAACCAAGGAGGTGCTCTTACTTTGTACGAGAAATTGAAGTCATTCATCGACCATGCCCGAACTTCCCTCTCGTATAAAAATCCTAAATTACTGGCCAGACGTCTTGTTTCCTAGAGAGAAAACGTAAAAGGGGTTAGAAAAAAAATTATCACTTGTTATATTCATGACTAGATAGTTTGAAAAAGGTTCACCTTTAAAGGATGACTAGAGCTTTCGCATAAAATCTCTGTCCCCATACCAGAGTTCACGTTCAACTGAATCCTTTCTTTCTTACACAATAGCTTTGCAACTGGATTGACATACCATGGGAAACTGAAAGGTATATTTAAGGAAAATTGACCATCTTGATACAGTAATTTCTGTGACCAACTGACTTTAATGGAGAGAATAGAACCTCCGGCAACCTTGAAAGATCCAAAAGTAGACAAATATAGCCCCTTTCTTGAAACACAACAGGAATGAAAAAGAAAGCCAAAGCAAGAGAGAGATAATCAAGTTGGTAGTTTGAGATGGTAATCACCTGAGGGACCTTTAACGTGTATATCTGGCGTTTCAGTAAGAACCCATCTTTAGCATTGGCTACTAAACTGGCATCTTTGGTATCATTTGATGCAATCAATTGGGTAGAATATGATCTTGGTGGTGTTTCAACTTCCACACCTAGAACTGAACCCTGTTAGAGAAATGATATCTATTTTGAGAACGATAGAATGACAAATATCGCAGTCAAGAAGTAGTTCCTATGAAACAGCAGTGTTTAATAGGATAAAATCACAATGAAACTCAAGAATCCCTAAAATGACTTGCGCCACCCACCAATTATTCATGATAGTCTCATTCATCAGTAATGAGGTTATACAACTTGCGCCTCTCTCCAGCACACTTAAGACATATATTAGCCTCAGCCCCCAGTAATTCATCTGTCAAACTAGGGGGCATATGCAACAGTTTTATTTTTCTGTGACTCTTTCTTTCTATGCAATGCCTAGACTTGATTCTGATCAAATGAGGAATTTACAAATGTTCCCCACATTTAGCTAACCAAATAGTTTAATGTACTTCAGAATACATTGTCACTCTCCATCGAGAAAAATCTCAAGTAACTACAGACATTAAAAACCTTTTAAATGATGTATACATACATACTAAAGAGAAAATGTTGGGCAAAAATTGCTGTCAGTATGCTTCGTTTTCCTTGAGTATGAGTTAATGACCAAAAAAAATGCAATTTTAGAACGAATGGCAACATAGAATGTCCGACCAATTTAGTAAGTCATTCGAAAGCATAAGATGTAAGAATATTGAAAAGAAGACAATGATGGAAAAAGTTTCTTGTGTTTCATTCCCTTCCTATTTACACAGCATAAAAGAATAAAAATCTGTTACTTTATTCTATAGGTGTTCTATTCTTATTTGTGGACTTGCAAATATATACACTGTCACGTGCTCACATGCACTAAAGTGAAACAGTATCCAAAGTGGACAAAGTGGACACCTCAATATCCAAAGTGCTTTGTATCAAAAGGAGATAAAGAGCTTTGGTCAATACGACCAAGCTTTATTTCGTGCAGACCAAAGCCCCAATTTCTCTTTCCTTGTCTCTTCTTCTTCATCTCCAACTTTCTTGGTCATGGTGTCTTGTATCAAACAACCAGCTCCAACACCCCTCCTCAAGTTAGAGGGGGGTGTAACCACACCCAACTTGCCAATAATGGAGTTGTGTGTCGGTCCTGCTAAGGGTATAGTAAAAATGTCAGCCACCTGAGAACGTGAAGGAATGTAAGAAAGAGAGATGATTCCGGCCAAAAATTGCTGCCGGACAAAGTGACAATCTAACTCCACTTGCTTGGTACGCTCGTGAAAAATCGGGTTTTTCGCGATGTGAATGGCAGCCTGACTGTCGGAGAAGAGATCTATTGGCAATGGAAGGGAAATAGAAAGATCGGTCAATAGACGCACTAACCAGGTAACCTTTGTTGTGACTCTCCGTATAGATCTATACTCTGCTTCAGCAGAGGATAATGACACTGAGGTTTGTTTATTTGATTTCCATGAGACGGGAGAACCCCCAAAGCTGATGAAGAACCCGCTAATGGACTTGCGAGATTGAGGACAAGATCCCCAATCGGAATCACAGAAAGCAAGGAGCTGATAATTAGGCTTTGAATTCAGAAAAAGCCCTAATCCTAGGTCCTTGAGGAGATACCTGAGGCAATGGAATGCGGCATCTAAATGGGGTTGACGACGTGTTTGCATGAATTGGCTAAGATGTTGCACCGCAAAGGACAAGTCCGGCCCGGTGTGTGTTAGAAAATTCAACTTTCCTAACAACCGACGATAATAAGTGGGATCTTGGAGCAAAGTCCCTGCCTCTGCTCGCAATTTCTGAGTAGGATCCAAGGGAGAAGAAACCGGGCGCATGCTCATGTAATCAAATTCAGACAAGAGATCTAAGGTAAAGCGCCTTTGAGTCAAAATTATTCCATGTGCTTCCCTTATAATCTTAAATCCCAAAAAATAATATGCATCCCCTAGGTCCTTTATTTTAAATTCAGAGTGAAGGAAAGATTTGAGGTCTGCCTGCTCAATAGAGTCATCCCCTGTGATTAGAATATCATCAACGTAAATTGCAACTATGATAATCCTTCCTGCTGATTGTTTAAAAAATAAGGAATAATCATTTAAGAATGTGAATATCCTTTAAAATTTAGGGTTGCAGTGAGCCTTACATACCACTGCCTTGAGGCTTGCCGCAGTCCATATAGTGATTTTTTTCAAAAGACAGACATGATTGGGTAAAGGTGGTGTTGTCCCTGCTGAAAATTTCATAAACACTTCTTCCTGCAAATCCTCATGCAAGAAGGCATTATTCACATCTAGTTGTGACACCTTCCATCCCTTTTTCACTGCAATAACAAGTAAGCACCTAATTGTTGTCATTTTTACAACTGGGAAAAAAGTCTCAGTAAAGTCTATCCCTTCTCTTTGAGTGTCTTCCCTAATAACCAAACGAGCTTTGAATCTTTCCAAATATCCATCAGACTTGTATTTCACTTTGTAGACCCATTTGCAAGGAAGTGTTTTCTTTCCACAAGGTAAAGGCACAACCTCCGAGGTTTTGTTCAGTTCTAGAGCTTCCAATTCTTTTTCCATTGCTTCCTGCCACCCTGGGTGTAAAGCTGCCTGTGAGTAAGAAGTAGGTTCAACAAAGTAGGAGGTGGAATTAAGTATAGACTAATTGATAGGAGAAAGAACTGTGAAGGGTAGAACAATGGGCTGGATTGGTGCAGTGAAGCAAGAGTTTGTGAGGTCTGTGAGAAAGACTGAGTTGCACATATATTCCTGGAGATATGAGGGTGGATTATGTGTTCTAGTGGATTTTCTGACTTCAGGAAGGGATATAGGTAAGGGTGAATGAGTAAATCATCTAGGTTGGGAAATAGAACTTGTACCTGAAGTTGAAGGAAGGGTGCTGAGTTGCTTGGATTTGAAAAAGCAGGCAGTGAAGGTAAGGGTGAGCTGGGAATAGCGGGCTCATCCTTTATGTGTTCTGATGATAAGTCTACAGTATGTTCTAGGGGTGATGTAACAGGAAAAAAGGAATCTGTAGATGTAGTAGTAGAGGCAAAAGGGTACTGATTTTCATAGAAAGTACACATCTCTAGATACACTCACTCTTCTTGTATCCAACTCTAGAACTTTATAACCTTTCTATCCCAAGGGATAACCTAAGAACACACAGGGCTTTGCCCTTGGGTCAAACTTACCTCTTCCACTAGTCAAAGTAGATACATAACAAAGATAACCAAAACACTTCAATTGTTTATAAGAGGTTTTTTGTTTGAGTAGAACAAATAAGGTGTCCTTCCTTTAAGCACTCTAGAAGGTAACCTATTGATCAAATAGGTTGCAGTTAGTACACATTCTCCCAATAAAGAAGAGGAAGCTTAGACTGAAACAACAAAGCCCTTGCAATTTCCAGAAGATGTTTGTGCTTCCTCTCAATCACTCCATTTTGTTGAGGGGTTGCCATACATGATGTTTGATATAGCATTCCTTGAGAGGCTAAAAATGTTGCCTCCTAAGAACCTTTCCCAAGTTCAAAAGCATTATATGTTCTTATCTTTTGTACCTTTACACCAAACTATTTTTCCACCTTTGTGAGAAAATTTTTAAGGAGTCCAAAAGCATTGCTTTAGGTGCTCATAAGGAAAGTACAAACTTGCCTTCTATAATCATCTACAACTGTCAAGAAATACTTAAAACCATTGTAAGTTGACTCATTGTAGGGCTCCCAAACATCTACATGGATTAACTCAAATGCCCTTGTTGATTTAATTTGACTTAAAGGAAAATAAAATTCTGGTTTGCCTAGCTTTAGGACAAATTTGACATAAACAATCAGAGTTAGAAGGTAAAGAAATAAAACCGAGATGTTTCATTAATGAAAAGGGCAAATGCCCTAACCTAATGTGCCAAAGGCTTACATCTGAAACTGAGTTTGCAGAAAAAGGAAATGAAACTGACAATTGACTAAAGACATTTTGATTTAAAACTGAAAGTGGTACCACTTGTGCTATTTCTAACTCCACTTGGTTCCAAAAGGTATAGTTCATCCATTGCCTTACCAAAAACTTGTGCCCTCTTCACTAAAAGCCCCTGCAACATACAGTTACCAGAGGTAAAAAAAGAGAATAGAATAAAATTGTAAACAAAACCTGTTAACAGATAATAGATTGTATCTGAAACTAGGTACATGTAATACATTTTCTAAAATGAAATCAGGAAGAATTAGGCAGATTTATGTTTAATGGGACTGGGAGGGGTGTCAAGGAAATAAAGGCATTTGAGTCAAAACACATGTGTTTAGATGCTCCAAAATCAATAATCCATGAACTAGAATTAAAAACTGAAAGACAAGTTCCTGAATATCTAGCAATAGTACCAGCCACGGCATTAGCATTGATATATGTTCCAGAAATTCCCGAATCTGCACCTTTAACCTGCTTGATTAGTTGTATCAGCTGTGATAATTGATCATGTGAGAGGTGTTGATTGAGTACTTCATTCTGATTGCTGTTGTTTTGATTTGATTCCTCAATTTGAAATGCTCTATTGCTTCTGGTGTGAACTTGATTTCCCTTTGTGAATTCAAAGTATTCTGGGAAACCTATAATTCTGTAGCAATCACTGACAATGTGACCTACTTTCTTGCAATGACTTCATGTTACATTAGGGTAAAACTTAGTTTTCTTTCCCTTGAAAGTTGTGTTCCTTTGAGTAGAGTTAGTCCATTTTTGGATGTTGTTCCCAAACTTTTGATTTTGCATTGGGTTCCTTTGCATCTGCCTTGCACTCCTTTGTGCAAAGTTGTTTTGATTCGTTACCATGAAAGATGAAGAATCTGGAGAAATGAGTGGGTTAGCAAAAACTTCTTTCTGGCTTTCATCTTGCAATACCAGGGAATATGCATGGTTGATGATTGGTAGGGGGTTCATCATCAGGATGGTTCCCCTTGCTTGACCATAACTATCATTTAAACCCATAAGAAACTGAATAAGCCTTTCATCATCTAGTGACTTTTCTAATTTTTGCTCCCCTTCACAGACACACAAGCAACTGCACTTCACATCACAGTTAAATGAATCTAATTCATCCCATAAACGTTTGAGTTTTGTAAAGTAGCTTGCTATGTCACTAGTTCCCTGTACTAACCTTGATAATTCCTTCCTCCGGTGATAGAGCTTAGCTCCATTTGACTAACCAAACCTATGTTCAAGGCTGGTCAAGAGATCTTTAGCAGATTTAGAGTAAATGATACTGTCTCCTATGTCTTTGGACAATGAGTTGAGCAACCAGGATGTTACCATATCATTACACCTACTCCAATGCTGATAGTCTCTGGAAGTGAGAGCTGGAGCAGGGCAAGCATCATTGATGAATCCTATTTTATTTTTAGCAGATAGTGTTATAAGCACATATCTTCTCGATCCTTGGAATCCTCTTTCATCAAAAGCTGTGTTGACAAGAGACATTCCTGGTGCATCAGAAGAATGAAGAAAATATGCATGGTTTGAGTCGATTATAGGGATTACTCCAGTGGTGTTCAGAGCCACTGTGGTTGCAGCGTTATCAGGCATTGTTTAAGATTTATATGAAGATGAGGAAGATGACTGATGGATCGAGCTTTCACTGCTATGATACCATGTAAGAATATTGAAAAGAAGACAATGATGAAAAAAGTTTCTTGTATTTTATTCTCTTCCTTTACATGTATTTACACGGCATAAAAGAATAAAAATATGTTACTTTATTCTATAGGTGTCCTATTCTTATTTGTGGGCTTGCAAATATATACATTGTCACGTGCTCACATGCACTAAAATGAAACAGTATCTAAAGTGGACACTTCAATATCCAAAGTGTTTTGTATCAAAAGGAGATAAAGAGCTTTGGTCAATACGACCAAGCTTTATTTCGTGTAGACCAAACCCCTAATTTCTCTTTTCTCGTCTCTTCTTCTTTATCTCCAACTTTCTTGGTCATGATATCTTGTATCAAACAACCAGCTCCAATATAAGAAAGAAAAGAGGGTGGAAAGAACATTTTATTTTATTCCTTAAATGCTCTAGCTTCCATGACAGAAGAGTTATCCTAGCTCCTTGGTGTATTTTCAATGAATTTAAGTTATACACACCACGAGTGAATTTTAACGTGTAATAGCAGGAATACTTAATAAATGACCCTCTTTTATAAGGTAATAAGTGACCCGATAATGAATATTTTCTATACAGTTAGTGCATAAAACTTATTTTCAACCATCAGGAAACTCATAGCGTCGCTCTCTTTACCATGAAAATAAAGAGAACGGAGCGAACCAAGCTCATTCCGTATGGAAAAGGCCAATTTTCGTTTGATCAAGCATCAAAACAGAAATCCATGTATCTCGCAATCAGTGACTTCAAATAACACTTCAATAATAGAATCTGAAACTCAAACTCAGAAGTTCAACGTTCATGGGAAGAGAAACAGAACCATTAAAAAAGTGTGTGTGTGTGTGTGTGTGTGAGAGAGAGAGAGAGAGAGAGAGAGAGAGAGAGAGAGAGAGAGAGAGAAAAGGAGTGTGTGGAAGATAAACAGAACGATTTCCAGAAAAGAACAATAAACTTGCAAATAAACAAAAGATACAAAACCTGCTCTCCCATTGGTACAGCGAAGCGACAATCACAGCAGCGGCTAGAAGCAACACAGTGCACGCGCCAACTCCCGTTGACCGTTACAAAAGCAGTGTCCATATAACAGTCCACCTCCATTCCAATCGCGTGCATGTCAAGCGGAATCAACGCCGGCGGATCACAACGACCGTGAACGTACGGCTGATAGCTCGGAATATCAGGATTATCCACAATCGACGGGTCCCTAATTACAGCGTACATCATTGGCCCCGTCGGCAGGTAATTAATCTCCGTAAAAGATGATTTTTTCTCCATTACCAGTGGCTTCGGTGGATTTTTACCGTAGTAAATTCGCTTAGCTAACTGTAATCCCATGTCCACCGACGTTGCAAAATCATCAGCCATATTTTCCGGCGAGTGCTATTATTCTTCAACAGAGAAAATGAACAAAATTAGAAAGTGTAGTACTGCATTAATGGAGACAGAGAGTATTAAATTTCAATTTTCTCATCTGCTCTCTGCTGGATAAAAGATAGTCCTCCTACAAATAATTATGGAAAGAAACAGGACTTGATTAAGACATATGGAATGGAATCCTTGTGGTCAACTTTCAGACGACAAGTTAAGCATGTTCACTAATTACACATTGACGTAGCATGCTGTAATTGGTTAATTAAAGAAGAGGACAAAGTAATTGTTTCTTATTGATTGAAGAAGACGTAACATTAAAAATTTCTTTTACTGTTAAAAAGTATAAATGAGAGGAAATTATATTTATATATTAAAAATGTTTAAATGTAGTACATAAATTTGTTTTGGGCGACTTACAAGAAAGGGACAAGCCTTTTTGTAGAATGGATAAACTGCTAATTTAGTGAAAGGAGACTTTCGTAGATATGATTAAGATAATAAGCATATTCCTAGTGTCAAATAAATAAAATAGTAAGGCATATTGTTACTTTAAATACGATGTTTGTTTTGGTTGTTACTTAAATTTTATTGTATCGTATCGTTAAATCTGTCGTTACATAACGACGGAATGTGTCACTTTATGTAACGATCGATTTGGTGTGATTGCGTCGTTATCTTATCTTTTTCTCTCATCTCACCCTTCACTATTATTAAATAAATTTATTTTATCATGTACCCTACCTTTTTATATAATAAATTTACCCCGTATCATAATATTTTTTTTATAATATTACAAATTTATTTTTCATATTGTTAGTGCATGATATCATGAAACAACGGCAAACGATACAATCTATCCAAATATCGTATTCATCAAACGATACAGTACAATACAATACGATACGATACATTATGAAACATTGACTTTTTCACCCACTGCAATAGATTGCGCAGCTAGCGATTCCATGCTGGTGAACATAAATTATCTGGCAAGATAAGTTACTAGGAGTATATTACTCAGTATTTCTTGAATTATATTTTAAAAACATCGTATTTTCATGTTCCATTTACGCCCAAAGTATCGAATATTTACCAACTGGCATATTGTAATATTAACTAGCCTTCAGAATCATCCGAGGATAAAATCAAAAGAAAGAAGATTGATTAAAAAGCTAAAGTATTATGACTATTTTGGAAAAGAAAGTCTTACTATTCAATGACTTTTAATCCTCTGAAGGCGAGAAACTCTCTATCAATAGTAAGTGAATACTTGAAAACTAAATAGTGGCTCTCTCTGTATGTTTTTTTAAATCTATTTTAATAAACTTTCTCGAAATTCTTTAACTTTAGTTTTTTCATTTTATTTTTAGTTACAAGCTTTTGTAGTTAATGTACTTTTGATCATTTTTTATTAAACTTAATAACCACCACCATATAAAATGTGACAAATGCAAGTGAAAAATATTAGTGGCCACCAGACAGTAGGATTGATTGGGACTTGCCTAAGACTAAATAGGATCAAGTGGTGGGACTAACCTACTAGTAATAACGTTGGTTATTCTGTAATCTGATCCAAAAAGAAAGTATAAGCCGTTGGATGAAAAGTTTCGTTGAGAATCGACGGCGAAATTGAATGGTGCCAGATATCCAAAAATGTCTTACTCCAAACGAGTAACTTTCAAGAAAACGAAATACACCAAAAAAGAACAAATGTGGCTATTAATGTCAAGTGGACGGAAAGCAAGAAAATGTGTGAAATGTGGAATTAAGAAAAAAAAAAGGAGGTGAGGTAGGGACGCAATAGGTATTATTTGGTTTCATTAATGGGAGTGGTAGTTGTTGTAATCATGTGACATAAGCGTGGCTTAATAATATAATATAATAATGTTAATTAAACAACATTATTGGGGGACCAGCAGCATCTATTTGTCCCCATTATATAGTACCAAGCATAATTTATGACGAGAAAGAGGACCAAACATCGTGGATAAAAATAAAATAAAATAAAACAATAAAAATATAATAATAAAAAATAAAAACATCGTGGATCGCGCTACACCACTAGAAAAAATGTATTTTTTTTCCGCTTGAGCAAATTACAACCAAAAAAAGATGTCTTTCTGATAAGTTACATTGATCCATGCTGATTATGTTTCTTCAGAGACGCTATTATCCTACACTATTTAATATTTTATTATTAATAATAATAATAAGTGCTTGTAGTTTTTATATTTTTTTACTGATATACAAATCTAATAGTATAAAACATAAGATCTAAAGTAACTATTCTAACGTGACCACGTCATAAAGTAAGTATCAACTAACCCTGTCGCGTTTTAATGCAACTTTAATTTGTCATAAAGCCTTTATTTACTCAAAATTCAAAGATCAGAAATTCATAACTACTCAATGAGATTATTAGCCTGTTTGGCCAAGATTCTTTTAGGGAAAAAGTATTTTTTTGTCAAAAAGTATTTTTTTTTAAAATTAAGGTATTTGGCCAAGTTTTTGATAGGAAAAAAAAAATGAAGAGAACCAGAAGCATTTTTGGAGAAGCAGAAAAAAATAGTTTCTCTCCAAAAATATTTTTTTTAAAAGTACTTTTGAGAAAAAAATACACTAAGAAGTACAGCGTGTTTGGCCAAACTTTTTTTTGTGCCAAAAGTACTTTTGGCCAAAAATTGAGGTGTTTGGTCAAGGTTTTAGAAGGAAAAAAGTGCTTTTGAGGAGAAGCACCAGTTTTTGAGAATCAGAAAATATATTTTTTCTCCAAAAGCACTTTTCTGAGAATTACTTTTGAGAAAAATACACTTAGAAGCAGTTTTCAAAAGTTTGGTCAAACACTAATTACTGCTCAAAAATACTTTTCAAATTAATTAGCCAAACACAAACCGATTCTCGCCAAAAGTACTTTTTTGAAAAACACTTTTGTAAAAAGCACTTCTCAAAATAAGCAGATTTTAAAAACTTGGCCAAAGAGGCTAGTAGTTTTTTAAAACTTGGTCAAACACTAATTATTGCTCACAAGTGATTTTCAAATTAATTAGTCAAACACAAAATTGTTTCTCACTAAAATTACTTTTGAGAAAAGCACTCCTCAAAACAGGCTATATTTTTGAGTTAAAACTTTCAAGAAGCTACTCTTTCTTTCTCCCCACAACAAATTTTCAACGAAAGGACAACTTGTATATCTCATCAACTTGACTAGATCAGAACATAAATTTCCTTTGCTTCGTTAAATAAATCCAATTAAATAACCAAGTAAAATATACCAGTAGTAGCATTTATTTGTCAACTAGTCATGACGCAAAGTAAACCAACCGGGCCTGAAACGGCAGAAATCAAGGCTCAAGTCCAGCCAGCTGGTTCTCTTAGTAGTAATTGCTATTTGACTTTCGGGTCATTGGACCACGAAAGACTTGAACTCTGTCTAAAATTAACCAACTGTGGTTTTTCCGATTAGGTAGATAAAATATTGACCAATTGTAGATATTCTCCCGTAAAAGTTTACTCCCAAGCCAACGAAGAATACACTTAGGGGTCGTTTGGCCATATAAAAATTTTCACTTTTTTTTTTAAAATCAGCGTTTGACCATGAAATTTTCAATTTTCACTTAAGAGAACTCCAAAAGGCTATTTTTCAAAAATTTTACTTCAAATCGCTCACAAAAATTCAAAAACAGCCCAATATTGTATTCTTGTCCAAACACAACTCTAACTTTCAAATACCATTTTCACTTGAATTTTTTTTCCGCTTTTTTCGGAATTTTACAATTCTAATGTCCAAACGCCCACTTAGATTGTTTTCAAGCATAGGAAGCCCTATGATCATGGTGTGAGAGAATGATTAAAAATAGCCAATGCCATAGAGTTCCAAATTTCACAGGATAGTCCTATAGTTTCACTTGTAAAATTTGAAATCCCATAATAGTGGCTAGTTTTTAGTTATGGGGGTTGAAGTGGCTATTTGTGAGTTTTATACCATATAACGCCTCCCACTAGCATCCTAGCATTTCTCTCCGATCCACTTAGGCCCAGTTGATGGTCCACTTAAGTTGGGTCGCATGCCGTCCGAGTAGAAGCTAAAAATAGCATGGGCTAGCCAATTTTTGGACTGGTAATTGAAAAATAGCCAGCGTTTGCAAAGTCATTAAAAAATAGTCACAATTTTGCTACAACACGAAAAGTTCCAGCATAATATACTGGATATTGGAGCACATGTGTATGAACTTCCAGCATATTATGTTGGACCAGTATATTATGCTGGAACTCCAGTATATTATGCTGGAAGTTCACATTTAAAAAATTCGAACTCCAATATATTATGCTGGAATATTTTTCTGATTTTGAACAGTGTTTTCGTTTAGATTTATCTTTACATTAAAAGTGACTAAATTTCGATTACCTTTAAAAATATGGCTATTTTTCAATTATCACTTATAAATCTGACTATTTTTAAATTTCAGCCGAGTAGATGTAGGTTCAGTCCACTTTAAGTTGGGATCAGGCTTGTTCGACATTTCTCAAACCTCCACATTACACATTGCACCCAAATGCTTTTCTATGATTTCTAAGTTTTATTATATTTATATAAATTAAAATGTTTGAAGGTACATATAGTGTCCCATTTTGTTTAGTTTTACATTTTTCAAAATCTATTTAACTCTTTCTCGTATAAGAAATTAAGTGTGAAAGTTATTATTTATACA